TCCTACCAATTTTTTTAATTGCAAATATGTGATAAATGTAAAAATTGAAATTTAATATTCTCATTTGGGGTGAGAAAAAAAGCATTGGTTATGATTCATCTTGAACTTATTAAATCTAACAATTGGAATGACACGTCATGTATGTGTTACGTGAAATGAATGATGGCGCAAATGTAAATGAAGCGCTTCAAATTTTAGAAAATATAATTTGTCAACATCGTTCATTTAGAAAAAAAAACTACAAGTATTATCTGATATTTTTCAGGTTACATTGAACTATTTTAGTTACATTAAGTGTGACACAAAACGACCGGTTTTATTTCGTTAAAATATCTTCAGCTCTTAAAACTTGACCTTTCTTTATCGTAAAAAGAAAGAAAAAAGACAAAAAAAAACACGAAATGTGCAGATATTTCCTTAATATTTATACTACCAAATTCTTTTACACTTCACCGAATCGTTTCTTTCTTTTCTAAAAAAAATGTTCAGCAAATTTTTTAGGTTTTTGAAAGATTGTTAAATGCGGTTACTGGATCAGTGCTACTTTTGAGTAAAATCATATTAAAATTTTTGATATTTTAAATCACAAACAAATCTTTCTCATTTCCGTCATTTTGTCTGTTGCTGATTTAAGTTTCGCGAGTTTTTTTCCTTTTTGGAATAAAATTACTGTTAGCAACTTCTCTTTTTCCGCCATTTACAAAGTCAGCACTTTGTGGAAAGATTGCTAAATGTGATGATGATTTGATCGGTGTTGATAAAATGATTACATTATTGAATTGGCATTTTTGGTTATTTTTCCAGAATGAATTAACAATGGTAATCAGTTGGGAAGAATAACTTTATAAAGTGAAATTGCAAATTCTCAGACAGTTTCAGTTATCTTCAAAATCACAAGAGACTTCTCAATCATTTCTTTCCCTTTCACTTGTTCATTTTTATGACTAAATAAATGATTTCAAAAAGACTCCTATAATCGATAAAAATTGAAGAGAGTAGGAGGAAAGTAAGAAGAAAAAAATGGAAAATGAAAAAAATTTTGAAAAAAAATGCGCAAAATAACATTATCAATAATATATCATTTTATACAATTTGAGACTTTTAGCAGATTTCAATAAAAATTTGCTTATTTCAATGACAAATTATGCAATTAACACCTCAAACAGTATATTTAAATTAAACATTAAATTAAAAGAAATGTGACGAGAAATTTTTTACAGATCGATGTCAACGATCGCTTGTTGATGAATGATTGGCATAATTTGATAATAAACTCTTCTTCATACGTATTTTCTTCATTATATTACATCGTTTTTTCCAATAATCATTTATTCTTTTATTAGATCACTTTGACGGTAAATAAAAGCATTTAGCGCTTAGGACGTGTACGTGAAGTAATAATACGTGATGTGATACCAATGATACCACATAATAACACTTCTCAGGATCCAAAAAAAGAAAAAAATTACCTATGGCTAATAAAAATTACTGCTAGTAACTTCGAAAAGAAGAAAAAATGAAGCATATAGGCAGCATTCGTTTATTTTTTAAAATTGATTGAATTGAGCGAAGTCCTTTAACAAAACGCGCTTGGATGGAGTTGTATATTAGGCGACATGCAGAAGATGACAACGACATCACTGTTAGCTGCAATAGTGAAAATGTCAAAAGAGATATTGAAAATTCATGAAATGATTGAATATGGTAGTTGAGCGGAAAATGTTCAGAATTACTTTGCGTACTTTTTTTTTTAAATTATTAATTGAACTGAGTTTTTCTGTTCTTTTTGCTTCCATTAAATGGTACCAAATGGAAAAGAAGGAAAAAAAGGAATTGATTTCCATTAGACGGTGCCGAACAATTTCATTTCTCATTCACTGAGAGTCGCCGTGTCTCATCGAGAACGAGTTCTTCATTTCATTTCTTTTCCGTTTCCTCACACTCACTTGTATCGTTGTATCGAATTATTACCAATTTGAAAAACATGAAATGTTTAGTTTTGCCACTATCTGCTGATACAGTACATTTTGCATTCTTATTTAATCCATTTCAAATAATTGATCAAAGTACAGAGAAAGCTCTCTTCCAACCATATACAAAATTGAAGACACCTAATTTCATCTCAAATTTTAGTCGACCAAAAACAATGAAATCTTTAGAGATGAATTATTGCACAGTTTTTTATTTGAAAATTTAAATTAAAAAAGAAACGGCTAAATGAACTTTTTGTGTCTAAACCTTAAATGTATGACCTAAAAGGCATAGCGAATAACAAGGCTTAGGAAAAAATTTGATTAAAAATTAGAAATGGCATATATCCGAATATCTTTCAGGAAAAAGAGAAAGAAATATTGGGAAGGAAATAAAAGGATGAAAATATGTTTCTAACATTTGAACTCTCCTAATATTGTTCCGTATTAATGTAACGGAAATATGGCATTGCCGGATTGTTCAACTAGAAGTCATCACACGTGAAAGTTATTAATGAATAATTCAATTTGAGAATGAGGTGGAGAGAATCTGAGCTGTGAAAAAAAAAGATTAGCTGTCTCGTTTTCTTTCAGCGCTAAGAGATTTACATCAAAAACGGAGACATATCAAACACGGCACCCTATTCGTACATAAACACGCACACATATACACACACACACACACACACACACACACACACACACACACACACACACACACACACATACACACATAAAATGCATTCCCTTTTTGTTGCTTTGTATTAAAGTATGCAGAAAAGAGTGTGGAAAGAAACCATTTCACGATTGCGAGAGATTTATTTTTTATAAAAAAAGGGGGAAAGAAAAAAGTAAATTAGAGGAATAGGAAAAAAAAAGTTGTTGAGAAGGGATCAGTGAAACAGCCATAAACAGTGCCATCAAATACGTTATATATTCAACCCAGCGTAGAAAAAACTATTAAATCAATTTTCTTAATAAACAAAAAAAAAATTTTGTTGGAAAAATTCAAACTAAAATAAACACTTAATGGAAAAATCTTGTTCAATAATTTATTAATCGTCTTTAGCCAAATGAATTAAAAATATTAAAAATTACTGCTATATGAGTATTCTTTGCTATGACTTCAATTTAATTAATTAGTGAAAAGGTTATTGCTTGGAAAAAGTGAAAATTTGTAAAATTTATAAGACAATTAGAGAAGTGAAATTGTAAAAATCGTTCTATCAATGCTTACATTTTTGATATTAGTATTTCGATTGAAATCGTTTACAATTATTAACTGTATTCGATTACTTTGGTATTAGTCAAAATTACAACTTTTATCACATTCTTATCATCTAATCAGAATTTTTTCCTTTAAAATTAAATTGAAGTAACAATTGCGAGAACGGGATTTTTTTTTTAAACTTATGATTGAATAGTAGAAGGCTTTCTAAAGGTCATTTCTGCAACTTTCTAATCAAATAGGTGCTATGAAAGCCGATAAACTTTCATAATTCATTACCGGACAGTAAGGTAAATTTCCACTTCGTTAATTTGAAAAAAAAAGCATCGAAGTTTAAACATCTAAACACTATAATTTTTATCTTCGAATGTACAACTTCGAAGATAAAAATCAGAAATCTTCCCAATAATGGATCTAAGGATTCTTCAGGCTTGTATTTGATATGTAAGTGAAATTAGATATCTAACTGTTGTATATCAACTCGGTCGATGTTTAATCATTTATTTTTGTATTTTTCTCATACTTCACATTACTGTTCCTAATGATTTTTATTTCCTATTCGCTGTGTGCAACTTCGAAGATAAAAATAATTTTCATGCAACATGTAAAACACAATGTGCTGAATTTAAAATAAGCTAACATCTTCAAATATACCGTATGTATAATAACCAATACTGCCCAATATTACCAGTTTATTCACACAAACCACTTGCATTTCTTTTAAAATAATGTAAATTTTGGATATCATTTACAAACCAATAAAAGGAAAACATTACTATTTGCAAAGTGAATGGGAAAATCTGCTCTGGTAATCTGTAGAAGCAAAGTGAAAAATCAAAATGTTTCATAGCACTTGCGTTTATTCACTTCAAATCAGCAGAGCCTTTTCATGTCAATAAAAAAAAGCATGGAGAGTCAATAAAAATACCTCGCATCATTAAATTATATTTCGATTCAGCCAAGGAACTTAATATACGAGTTGTTAAGTTCTTTGGCCGGATAGGAATATAACTTTAATGCTACGCAACAGAAACACTGAGTGATGGAGATAATAACACCTCGCACAATTGTAAAATAGCTGATTCGCACGGTGCTAGCACCTCTTGAACTATGCTTTGATACAACATGAAAAGAACAAAGATCAAAATTTTTTCAGAACTTAGTACAGTATCTGCCGAGTTAGTGAGATGCCGCCGTTCTTCATATATAAGAGGGAGTTGGGTACTAATTATAAATGAACTAAGAATCGATTTATGGAAAATCGGTGGCAGGCTGCAAATTGCGGAAATATACTAAAAAAATCAAAATGCTCTAAAGAGGCGAACAAAATATTTTGCAAGAGAAATCATTCAATAGCAATGGAGGAGGAAATTCAGGTTCAATTTTTTTTTTTTTTTTTTGGTTGTGGTAATTCAGACATGAATCCGTGTCGCAAAGGGATATACTACAAAAATGAAATAAATACCAAGTAACAGAGCAGAACAAAAGTATTTTATCGATTTTACATTCATATTTTGATAAAAAAATTTTTGGAAGGTTCGCTTTTTTCTGAAAAAGGTCCCTTACATACTCTGAGTGTGCAACGGACTACTTGGTCACCTCCCACAAAAAGTGCGGAAAATGACAAACAAAGGAACAAAAAAATAGCTACCTACCTGGAAATGGAAAGTTTTATAAGATAATTTAAAAAATGGAAGGTACATAAATAATTGGCATAATCATTTTCACGAAATCAATAATAATGTTGGATACAAAGAAAGGAAATCAGAGAGACCAATACCTCAACAGATTATGGAACTTTTTCAATGAGCAAAGCGACCACCAACTTGCTCTTGGTAAACCTGAAAGCAGATAAAATCAGTTGTGGATCACTTACTATTTTTTAAATGGAGAAAACAATAAGCATTAAAGCACATCTACATGAATGCTTTCTTTTATGTTGGGAATGCAAAGAATAGACAACATCAACATACCAACTTCATGAAAGTTGAGCAGCAGTGGCATAATAATTACATAGTGAAATTTGAATAGAAAAATGCAAGACCAAGCTTTACTCATAAATAATGACTGTAACTAGTAATGGATAAGCATAAACCATAATTTTTGAGAGAGATCGTCATCATTATAAAAAAACGCTGGAGTGAAGGAACGATCCGGCAACTTAGATTTCAAATGACATGAAATAAACTTACTTCAATTATATCATCCTCCTCAATTTCCAGTGTCTTAGGAGTATCTTCATCATTAATTCGCCGTCCATCAAATAAAAAGCGCAGTGAACCAACATCGACACCCATTCGATCTGCGTAAGACTTTTTCAGTTTCCCCATGCTTGTGCCAAATTTCACACGAAAATGTACCTCATTCGAGTCCTGAAATAAAATCGTAAATACAACAATGCCGACATGATGACAAGTATTAATTCTTAGATTATATGTTGTCCAAAAATAAGTTGTACCTGTCCTACAACCCGCAATTTGATATATTCAGAGGATGAAGTTGGCACTGGTCCAGAAGTTGAATTAGTATTACCAGTAGTTCCTCCCGATGTTTGTGAATCATCAGCCATCGTTTCAAATCTGTTTATAGGAAATTTGTGACAGAAAAAAACGCTCTTCCGCTGAAAATTCTTTTAGTAAAGTTGAAAAGTCATTCGTGAACCGTACCAATCAATTATCTCACGTAAATTCAAGTTGACATTAGTATTAATTCCCTTTTGTTTTCGAGTCTAAACTGTAAGATCAGGAGAAAGATCAGTGGAATAATTTAACAACGATAAAGATTCCCTAAACTGGCACAATCTACTGGCACAATAACCCCTGCATTTGATGTAGGATTTTGAAATTACGGATGTGAACTCATGCTTCAAAAAGGATGCAGCGTTATTCCAACTGAATGGTCGCAATAGTTCCAATTAAATAGCATTTCACTCACAGCTTCAATATGCTTTCTTCTTTGGATGAAATTGTCTTACTTGCCTGACTTGAAAGCTAAACCGAAAAGACGAATTTCTTTGTAGGTGGCATGTTGTGAAAAGCAGGTGATGAATCATTGGAACTGGAGTGATTTATCGGATCACCTAGCCAGCATATTATAAAAATTGGATGTGTGGGAGCTATGACCACGCAAAATAAATATTTAAATTATAACTGAAATTTAGCCCACCCCTTCCACCACTTATAAACAAAGTTAGTGAAATTTTTAAAATCGAGTGTGGTAAAACAATATTTAGGGATATGAAGTAGGAACAAAGTGGCTCAATTTCATGCTATGTGTAGCATTCTAAATCAAACACAAAGAGGAAGATAGAACAGATAGTAAAGATCAACTTGTACAAAAACATTTCGAGAGTGGTTCAATCAAAACTTCACTTCCTATCTTTCTAAAATCAAAGCCCTTCAGAAGAGCAGAGCTCGACGCCAACCCCTACCGGAACTTGCGTTGAATAATGATAGAATCCATATATTTCACGCGGTTGTTGGGCCATCATTATTATCCCTAGACCCTTAATGCAATTGCTATAGTCTCAGACCAACTCTCAACAAATCCAACCTCCGAGGAAAATAAGAAATGCCAAAATTCCCTGCTAGGTCAAAAATCCTTTGTCCTTTTGGGCAATCCGTCAATCTCTTTAACCAACACTCCGGCCACCTAAACAATACCCCCAGGGAAGATGCATCGAATTATAATCAGAGGAAAGCTATCAAAATAATTATCACTCAGGAAATACTCGGTTTCATATAATTGTACAAGCATTTGGAAATGAGACTTTCATTAAAAGAAATGCATAACGTTTCATAAAATTAGCAATCAGAAATAAGAATCGCGAAATTTAGCTTATCTAAGTGATTAATTGAAACCAGAAATCCTGTATCTTGTATCCCCTATATATGAGGTGCTGAAATAATTATATCTTCACTTGAAAGATATAAGATTTGCATTTACTATTTATATTTAAAGCCATTATCACTATCAATTGCCAAAAAAAAATTTTCACGGTCAATCACATCGTTTTCCACAAGACATTCTCGGAATTTCACCTCTTTGTTCAAGACGCAATTATACGATTATAAGAGTGATCTATTACAAAAATATGGGTAAAAAGCCACTACAAATCAAACACTATAATTAGCAATTAGAATAGCAAAATCAATTTTCTTAAAGCAACAAAGATGAGTGTGAAATTTAAAACTAAACTATATAATGACCAAAAAGTTAAAAATATGGAAAATATGATAAAGAATAGTTGAAGAAAACCATGAAAGAAAGGAAATGCTTATATTCGAAATCAAGGATGAAATAATAAAAAACTTTTAACTTTCTTTTTCTGTGAAATTCTTTTAGTAAAATTATGATCTCTTTAAATGATAAAAATAAAGCTCACTTGCATTTCCTTCTCCAGTCTTGCACTTCTAAGAATTTTGCTTAAGGAAAATAACTTTAATGACTAGATGCTAGTGATCACCATATTCATTTACAATTACTAAAAGCTTAAAACCGAACGAAAACCCAAGCTACTGCTAAATAATACCATCATTTCTCGATGAGAGATAGTTTAATGATACGTTTTAACTCTTCTTCTTGTTCTTCACATGCTTTCAGCCTTTCTTCCTCCTCCTTTTTCGATAGTCGTATTGCAAGCTGAATATCGTCGTCCTAAAATTTTAAAAATGAACCAGATGTCATTCTGACTCAATATGGTTGCGCAACTAGCGCACTGCACAAGTTGCCTGAATAGCTAAACAATTCTGGTGCCAGCACAAAAAAATTATCCATAAAAAATATTAACTAGCACCAAAAAGATTGAAAAGCACCATGAAAGTCTGGCGACGCTCTGTGGTATTGGTATCGTCGACAGGTGTAGCATCTTCCCTCATCAGTTGCTCCAAACGAAGCGTTCGTATACTTTCTCTTATTGCATATGCTAAATCTGTGTCTTCATGCCAATCCGAGACATTGCTCGCGGGTCCCTCAAAACAACTGCTAGCACTTGCTGTTGGTGGGCCTGCCGCTTCACGCATGCTTTGTTCCAATGCAAATTGCAAATAGAGTTCATCTTCTGATACGTCTATAAGTACCAAAGACATCCAAATTACCCAAACAAACTATTCAATATAATTATCTCTTTTTTTTGGAAAGTAGTTAAACCAACCAATGCTGTCAGACAATAGTAATGGATTTATAACTATCAAATTTGGAGCAATTTTTCCAGAGTCATTCAGACTCATGAAACTGATCTTATTTTTAGAGCAGAAAACGTTAATACTCTACCTTGTATTTTATATAGTAATATTGAATAGCAAAGATCAAAACTGTTTTGAATGCTTCAATAACTATAAAGTAAAAAACGAACTAACATCTTGATGCAAGATTTCCATTGGAACCCACTTCACGTGCAGCTGTATTTCCGCTTATGCATATGCCATAATCACCGTTGTTCAACGAACGATAATATTGAGGGATTTCGAAAGTCGCCGGATCGATTTCTATCTGAAAATACATAAATTTTATTTATAAGACACATCCATCATGCTTAGTGAAATCCCAATGTATTCTATTCTGGAAATAGTAACATTCATGTTCATACAAGAATTGTCGCGAAAGTCGCGAAATTTCAAGAATATTACAAATGGCCAAATGTTTATGGATATATTTTATATATATATTTTTAATATATTCATAGATATAATTGCAATAAGGAATATTATTGTCTCTTAAT